CTCACACAAACACACACACACACACACACACACACACACACACACACACACACACACACACACTCTCTCTTTGAGCTCAGATTCAGTGTATAAAGTGGCTCAGAATGGCACAGCTGAATGAGCGATACAACGTTAGTCTGTGCAGTAAGAACAAAGGAATAAAGAATAAAGTGTGTGTGTGTTTGTGTGAGATGCTGTGAGAGGCTTTTTCTGTGAATGGAACGCGATGACACTGGCAACACAGTTTTGACCTTGTTAATTATAGAGGGAGACAAAGGGGGAAAATGGAGTGTGTGTGAAAAAAACAAAATATATATATATATATATGAATGAACACTATAATGGTATATCAATGATACCAAAATAACAGTTATTTATAGTTTTCATAATAGGCATTTTAAAATTATTATAAAAAAAAATACATCAAAGTTGAATGAGTAGAAAAAGACACTTCTGCATTTTTTTAAAGACAAAGTGGAAGACGTTAATTTATGAAAAAAGTGTAGAGTATGGATAATAGCATGTTAGAGGGAGACAAAGGGGGGAAATGGAGTGTGTGTGTGTGTGTGTGTGTGCAATGTTCAGTGTGGGCTGGGTAAATGATGGCAGCATAATCAAGCCTGATTTTTGGCACTATGTTGCCCTGGCAACCAAACTCATTTGCAACTGTACCAATTGCAGTGCCTGTGTTAAAAGCCCACTGTTTCCTTTTCCCCCTTTTTACCCATCATGAGAGAAAATGGTTCTGAGGTCAGTTAAACAATTACAGCTATTTATGAGGAGCTGTTTAAGTGATTTATTCCTTACTTTCCAGAACAACTAATGCGCCGTTGCACTTTCTGCACAGATTTCAGGCAGAGACTATGCTGTTTTGGAGACCACTTGGATGTAACGCCACCAATGTCATGTTAGGAGATATAAAACAAGATGACAATCTCATAGTCTTGATGTTGCTTTTGCAAATGGTCTTTAAGGAATGAACAGGAAACAGATGGAATCACTATTTGTGCGTTCCTTTTCAGATGTATTTTCTTATAGCTTTTCCCACAAACACACAGCTCACAAACACAGACTATTGTTGCCGCTCCTTTTTAAGCACACCTTATCAGGGGCGCGGGAAGATGTTTTCGGCTGGGGGTGCTGTGTGTGTCCGTGTTGGGTGGGGGGTGGGGGCTGGTTCACTTACGTCGGTGCTCGTGCTGCGGCTGGTGTTGTTTGGATGCCGATTTTGGAAAGTTTTTGCTGGGATGGGCATTTAAAAAAATCTGATATTCGCTCTGCTGCAGCCCCCTCAGCACCCCTACTTCCCGCATCCCTGCACCTTATCAGTGTGAGCGGCATTGTAATGAGGTTTAGCTGATGAAAAATCAATGCTCAATTTCAGGTTAGATTAATTAATCAGAATCTACATGGAGCATTCGCACCATTATCTCTCAGAAAGCCTCTCTAATACTTTAATTCTCACTGGTAGAAGAGTGCAGATCTGCAAAGAGCAATATACAGTATTGATATATCAGGTTGATATGTAATGACTTTCCCTAATCTTTTGAAAACTGATAAATAAATGTTACATTGCATGTGTTGGGGTCTCAAAGGGGTATAAAGCAGGTGTAAAAAATAAAAAAAAAATGTTTTCCTATGCAGTATTTGTCTTGTTTTTCTTAAAAAAGACAACAATACTGTTTATGATGATGATTTTTGTATAATTGTAATAGTTACTGAAGCTGTAAACTAATGTAATTTGATTATTTTGTTTTATAGTATGTTTCTACACGACGTGTTTGATGGCAGTGTTGGTTGGTGAACTATCCCTTTAAGAGAATAAAAAGTGAATATTTTCACTATATGTTGATGCGACTTAATATTCATATGTAAATAAGCAAACATAACATTTTTCCACACAGGAACTTCCACATCATACCTGACGCACAGAGAAAATGGCAGCATTGAGATCCTATACTCCGCAGAACGGGTGGAAACACGAGATTAGCCACAGCCACATGGATTCTTCATCTTATCTCATGCCGGCAACGGGTCTGAGAGATTGAATAGTCTGGAGGTTTTTGAGAGCAATAGTTCAGCTCTTAAAAGTAATTTGACAATGTACTACTCTTTTACAGTTCATAAGCGTAGCCTTGGTAATTCTCTACCGAAGCAAACAAATTAATGTTTTTATCAATGCAACCGTCCTTCAGCAAAACATTTCCTGACATAATTCTTACAAAACACATATTAATTCCACAGTCCATACTTTCAATAACCCATGGTGTTGTATTATTGAATTAGCTAAAGCTTGAGTGTTTTGATGAAGCTCTTATTTTAAATGCAACACATTTTACTCAATATTCATGAAATTGCAAGTGGCATACAAAGGAAGCAATACAATTATATTTTCTTATATATATTTTTTTTATATTGTCTTATATATTTCTTTAATAGATGGAAAATACATTTATTTTTGTGGTAACAACCTCATAAGGAGTTGAAAGACAGAGACACCCAAAATGACTTGCTCTCTACATCAGATGCAAAGTTTAGTTTGCAGTCTTATTTTCAGTAGCCTACTTTGTGCACTCACTGGCATGTGGTCACTAAAGGCAAGGCTGAGTGGGTGGCAGTATTTATGTGCCAGGTCAATACATCGCCGGGGAAGTGATAAGATGAAGGCCCTTGAAGCAAGGCTAGCGGTAAATTGCCAGCGGTTAAGAGTTACCAGAGCACACTGAAATTTGGACACATCTGTCCAGCCACAATAGTTAGAGGAACAGTTCAACCAAAATGACAGTTCTGTCATTATTTACTCATCTTTATGGCATTACAAACCTGCTATTTTTCCTGTAGAGCACAAAAGGTGAATGTTTGATGAATCTTTATTCATCTGTTTTACATACAGTGACCAAACCGTACAATTAAAAAGTATTGTAACACTTTAGTACAGGGACCAGTTCTCACCATTAACTAGTTGCCTATTAGCATGCATATTACTAGCATATTGCCTGTTTATTAGTACTTATAAAGCACATATTCTGCATGACCATATTCTACATCCTTAATCCTACCCAATACCTAAACTTAATATTTACCTTACTAACTATTTATAAGCAGTAATTAGACGTTCAACGAGACAAAAGTCGTAGTTAATAGTTAATTAATAGTGAGAACTGGACCTTAAAATAAAGTGTGACCAAAAGTATATAGGAAATGAGAATGAATGAATGAATGCATAAATAAATAAATAAAATAATAAAAGTCAAACATTTAAATGTTTACAAACATTATCTCATTTTACAGCTTTCTAATTTTTTTTTAACTTAATAATGTTTTAGGTATTGTTGAACTTGACGGCTTATTTCTCCCAAATGTATATTTATGAATAACACATTTACCTCATAGAAATAGTTGTTACTAGTAATATGGAAAAGCCCGGATGTGCTGCTTTGCGCCGCTCTCATCCGCATTGCGTCATAAAGAAGCGCCGCTGCTGCTGGTGTTTTGTTTTGAAGTGTTGATCGTTACGCTGGTGGTCAAACATGGGCAAGTCTTTTGCTAATTTCATGTGCAAAAAAAGATTTCCATCCTGCATCAAAATCCAACATAAAGAAGGTAAGCGGGAGGTTTTAGCTAGCAAGCGACTGCCGGTCTGCTGTCAACATTAGTTCAGATCTTTCTGTATTTTTCTAATTGGATACGCAGGAGGAACTGATGCAGGCTTACCTGAAGGAGCAGGACACATACAACAGCAGGTTAACCTTAGAGGAGCTGCACACAGCACTCACATGTGCTGCTGGCAAGACTTCAGTTCATTAAATGTGCTTTTGAGACCCGTTTGACTTGGTATTTTGCTTCATAAACCTGGGAATAATACACATTCACAGGCAGTTACCTGTGAATGTGTCTGTTGCATGTATTATATTCCAGACTGCTGATGGGAGATGATCGTGTGAAGAGTGGCCTTAATTTCATGTATGAAGCACCTCCAGGAGCATCTAAAGGTGATAAACTTGCGATAAAGTCATTCATGTAAGTGATGCTAACTTATCGTTTTCTTCCTAATCATGACTAAACATGAATACATAAATATTTTTGATTTAATCAAAGAAAATTAAGAATCTGAAAAAAAAACAAGTTAAACTAAAGAGTATATATTCACCTGTTTTTTTATTCTTCTTTATATCATCACCAACGTCCTCCAGAGGAGACTAAAGAGGTCATGTTCATTTACATTATGTTAGAGTTTGTTGTTGATTATTAGTGATTGTGCTCTGTCACACTTTTAAATCTGAATATTAAACTCGTCAAGCGTGTTTAACCCCATAAAGCCTACTGCATTATATTTAATAGACGCATGTAAATCATCACCATGATCAAATTTCATCAAAAGCACAAAGTTCTACATGCCTTCTGTTGTCTGATTAATAGTTTATCATTGTTTTATCAAGAAATAACATCCCCTTCACGTCGTCATACGCATGTTGTTTTGCTGTGAAATCTTTACTGTAAACATAAGAATACATTTTAAATTGTTAACAGTATTTCAAGGATGAACATTTCCGGGACTGAAGCAACTTGGGTTTATTTGATTATCCATACATCTTTTTTTTTTTTTTTTTTTGGCAAAATGCTATTCTCTGAGTTTTTCTCCAGCTAACTAACATGCTGTGGACACTGAATGGTTCTCCTGAGGTAACATTTTGTGACATATTTAAAAGCTGTTTTATTGACATCATTGGCTTGACATTCACTTTTTTGCTCACCAGCCACTGTGGCTAGTGGTTTTCTAAATTAATAGCCACTCAACATTTTCATTCACCACAATTTTGTTTTTGGGAAGTTATTCTGTATAAATATAACTGAACCAAAATATAGTACAATTATTTAATTGATTAAAAGTTACACTTAATGTGTTTGGTCACATTTGTCTGTGTTTGGTCACATTTGACTGCCAAGGAGTATGAGAACATATTAATGCTGTCTCTTTATCGCTCCCCAGAATAAAATGCTAGTCAGTGTTCTTATCAATGAACGCACAAGCAATGCACATTATGTGTTAATAATTACTAGTAGGCTAATTGCTGCAAATATAGTGAAACTGCTGTCTTAAACCCATTCAAACAGATAGATTGACAGCACGGAGTTGTTTGGAACTATTGAGAGCTCCATGAACCACGTCACCGCGTGGCGGCGAGATCAAAGCATGTCGCAACTCTGTTTCTCAATGGCTCTGGTGTAAGAATAAACGATACATTGCAAAACAACATAAAGATGTTAACATAAAGAACGGTGAAGTTTGAGTTCATTATTTGTTCTCTGTATTTCACTAAGTAATTGTCTATGTTTAGTAAGTGCTAAGTAATTATTCCATTGTTTAATTGTGAACTTTAAGGACCTTTTAAGGTTTTTTTTTTGTTGGCCTTAAGCAACCTTGTTCTTGGGAAGTCTGAAGTGAGAGCAAAGCTGTGGTTTTGGTTTAGATGTGGGAGGTGTCAACAATTACCCTGTTTTTCAATGGATAATAGCATGCTATGTAATTTGTTATTAAACTATAGAATGCAGATATATAAAGTTTGACTGAACACTTTGCAAGCAAAGAATCGTAAGCACCACAAATCCATTTAAATATAATTATATTAAAAATATAATTTAGTCACATGGCTGGAAACATACTGTATGTGTCCTGTGAGAGAGTATTGTTAATTGTAAAAATTATAGATTGCAGAATGAGAAAAAAATAAAAATAAATAAATAAAAACTATGACGTGCATATGAAGGAAAGGAAATTGAACTCTGCTGTCACAGAACCAGTCGATCAGATAAATAATGTGTTCATAATTGAGCTTCTCTGTGTATGCATAATTCATCTTGCAATTGGATTCTTATTTTGTTCTTTATTGCACTTATTTTTTTTCCCAATTGACTTTGCTGCTCATTAAAAAAAAATATCGTGAAAAGCGCTATACAAATAAACTTGAATTGAACTTGAATATTTTCCCCCTGGGGGGAAAAATATATAATAAAAAAAAAAAAAAATCATAAATGTAGTTGTCACGATATCACTTAGTTTGGACTCTCAGACATTCAGCACATTTTCCCTGCTATGTTTGTTGTCATGATTGTTGATTTGATTTCGTCATTCAGATCAGGTGTGTGTTGTTAATTATTTTTGTTTGCTTGTGTATTTAATTTGCTCTCTTTCTGTTCACTGTTGTCGGGTCTTGTCAGTGTTGGATGTGTTGTTGCTGTTCTCTTATGTGGATTATTTACCTGTGGATTTATTAAAGTCTACCTTCAGCCTTCATCTCCGTGCGCTTGTGTATTCAGCAACACTGAATCTGTGACAGTTTGTCTTTAAGACCTTTTGTGTTTTCTCCTATATTCCAAGTTTCCTGAAGCCATATGGTAAGTATTTATGTATGCATGTATGTGCTTAAAAAAAA